ATGTTTAGAATGTTGAATCATTATTGTATACCTGGAATAAATCCCCCACTTGGTTGTGTTGTGTAATTCTTTTTGTACATTGTTGGATTCTATTTGCTAATATTTGTTGAAGATATTTGCATCTATGTTCATGAGAGATATCAGTGCGTTGTTTTCTCTTCTAATAATGTGTTAAACTTCTTTCACTATTAAGGTAATGCTGGACTAATAAAATGAATTAGAAGTGTTCTATTTCTATTTTCTAGAAGACATTGTGGAGAATTGGTACCATTTCTTCTTTAAACATTTGGTAGAATTCACCAATCAAAACATCTGTGCCTGGTGCTCTTTCTCAGAAAGTTATTGATTCAGTCCTTGACTATTCAGATTATCCATTTCTCTTTGTGTGAATTTTGGTAGTTTGCATCTTTCAAGGAATTGGTCCATTTCATCTAATTTATCAAGTCTCTGGATATAGAGGTGTTTATAGTATTCTTTTATTATTTTTTAATGTTCATGAGATGATTAATGATGATCCCTTTTCCATTTCTGATCCTGGTATTGTATTGCTTATATTTTAAATTTTTCTGTGGATTATGACATTTTGACATTTTAAAAAAATCTTTCTGCCTGGTGAGAGACTGTCTTTCCTGTGGCCAGCCAATTTTCAGAGATAGCAAAGGGCTCAGCCAGAAGCATGCCTTTGGTATGCAAACTAACCAATCCAGAGTCATATCTCCTTTACCCGTCCTGTACACCCCAGGAGGCAGTATTCCTCTGCCTTAATTGTTCCAGGACCAGATCCCATGCAACTAGGGACAGCCCCTATGCCCCAAAGCCTGCTGAAATTATTCAAACTAGCCAATCCTAAACTGCCTTCCTTTTCTGCAGAAACCCCCAAAAAAGTTCTAGCCTAGGTTTTACCTTGCTTCTGTTTTCTGTCTTCTTACCACTTGAGACTTTCCTATGTAGTTTTGTGTGGCATTGCTATGCCTCCTGTTTCTCTCCTGTATCTCTGCTTGTGGTCATACCTGACTGATCATCACAAAATAGCACAGAATAGGTAATTTTATGTCTTCTTTCTTTTTCTTTGGTTAGCATGGCTAGAAGTTCATTGATTTTATTAATCTTTCCAAACACCAGATTTTTGGTTTCTGTGATTTTGTCTATTGTTTTCCTGTTTTCAATTCCATTGATTTCTGTTCTAATTTTTATTTCTTTTTTTCTCTCTTTAAGCTTAAGTTGCTCTTCTTTCTTTCATTGCCTAAGGTGGAACCTTACACTGTCAATTTTAGGTTTTTCTTCTTCTCTAATATATGCACTTAATGCTGAGTATTCTAAGCACTGTTTTTGCTGTATCCAACAAATTATGGTAACTTATATTTTCATTTAGTTCAAAATGTTTTTTTTAAGTTTCTCTTGAGGCTTCTTTGACTCATGTATTATTTAGAAGTGTGTGTTTTATCTCTAAATATTTTGAGATTTTCCAGCAACTTTTTTGTTATTGATTTCTAGTTTAATTCTATTGTGGGCTGAGAACATAGTTGGTATGATCCTGTTATAGATTGACTTGTGTCCCCTCAAAAGATATGTTGAAGTCCTAAACCACACTTCCCATATATGTGGGGGCTTGCCACAAGCCTGGGGTGAGTGCCCCCAGGCATTCCTAGCCAATAGCATCACTACTGGTAGGCTGAGATTGACATGAGACAGAGTCCTTGGCCAATATGATGACAGTCTTTATAAGAAGAAGTGTGAAGACAGAGACACTTGGGGAGAACACTGTGTGATTACAGAGGCAGAGATTAAAGTGATGCACCTGCAACCGAAAGAATGCCGAAGAGTGACAGCAACCACCAGAAGCTCGGAAGAGGCAAGGAAGGATTCTCCCCTACAGGTTTCAAGAAGAACCTGGCCCTGCCAACACCTTTTTGGACTTCTATCCTCTAGAACTGTGAGACAATAAATTTCTCCTGTGTTAAGCCGCCCAGTTTGTGATACTTTATTACAGCAGGTCTAGGAAACTAATATAAATTCTATTAAATTTATTAACATGCATTTTATGGCCCAGAATGTGGTCTATTTTGGTGAATGTTTTATGTGACATTGAGAAGAATGTGTATTCTGCTGTTGTTGGAAGGAGTGTTCTCTAAATGTCAATTAAATCAAGAAGATTGATAGTGCTATTCAGGACAATTATATCCTTACTGATTTTCTGCTGTTGGAACTATCAATTCTTGAAAGGGGTTATCATAATCTCCAAATATATCAGTGGATTTATCTTTATCTCTTTGCAGTCCTTTTAGGTTTTGCCTCATGTATTTTTTTTAATCTTTTTTTTTAAAAGATTTTATTTATTTATTTGACAGAGAGAGACACAGCGAGAGGAAACACAGCAGGGGGAGTGGGAGAGGGAGAAGCAGTCTTCCTGCGGAGCACGGAGCCTGATGCGGGGCTTGATCCCAGGACCCTGGGACCATGACCTGAGCCGAAGGCAGACGCTTAACGACTGAGCCACCCAGGCGCCCCTTGCCTCATGTATTTTAACACTAAATTGTTTGGTGCATACATATTAAGGATTGTTGTGTCTCCACGGAGTGTTAACCTCTTTATCATTATGTAATACTTTTCTTTGTTGCTGATAATTTTCCTTGTTCTGAAGTCAGCTTTGCTTGAAATTAATATAGCTACTCCAACTCTCTTTTGATTAGTATTAGTATGGTGTACATTTCCTTGTCACTTGAACTTTTCATTTTAATAATTTATTTTTTTAATGTTTTAACAACTTGATTGATGTATTTCACATACCCACCATTCACCCATATAAAGTGTACTATTCAATGGCTTTTAATATAGTCAACAAGGTTTGCAACCATTATCACAATCAATTTTAGTACATTTACATTACCCCCACAAAAAAACCTTGCAATCCCTTAGCCAATCTGCCATCATCTCTCAAACTAGGCAACCAGTAATCTACTTTTTGTCTGTATGTATGTTCCTATTCTGGACATTTCATATAATATGTGGTCATATTGGAATGGAATCATATAATACTTGGTCTTTTGTGAATTGCTTCTTTCACATTTCATGTTTTCAAGATTCATCCATATTGTAGTATGTATCAGTACTTTACACCTTTTTGGTGCTGAATAATATTCCATTGTATGATTATACCACTTTTATTTGCCCATTAATCAGCTTATGATCACTTGGGTTACTTTTTGGATTACCTTACATATTCTGAGTAATGCTTCTGTATAAATATTTATGTACTACTTTCTGTGAAGGTATATATTTCATTTTTCTTGGGTATATACCTAGAAGTAGGTTGCTAGATCACATGGTAACTCTTTAAATGCAACTGCCAGGCCATTTTCCGCAGTGGTTGCACAATTTTATATTCCCACCAACAGTGTATGAGGATTTGAATTTCTCCACATTTCCCTCAACTCTTGTTATTGTTCATCTTTCATTTTATTTATGGTATCCTTTGAAACAAAATGTTTTTGATTTGATGATGTTCAGTTTATTGATTTTTCTTTTGTGGCTTGTTTTTTGTGTTATATCTAAGAGATCATTCTTAATTCAAGGCGATGAAGATTTTCACCTATGGTTTCTTCGAAGAGCTTTATAGTTTTATCTCTTAAGATTAGGTCTTTGATCCAGTTTGAGTTAATTGTTATACCCAGTGTGAAGTAAGGGTCCAATTTCATTCTTTTTTATGTGCATATCCACTCATCCCAGTACCACTTGTTGAAAAGACTATTCTTTCCCTCTCTGAATGGTCTTGGCACCCTTGCCAAACGTTGACCCTTGTGAAAATTAATAAAAGGAAACTTTGTTTAGAATGGGGTCAGGAGCCCAGTAGGGGGAGCTCTCAAACTCTACCACTTGACAATTAACAAATCCAACAGGAAGAGAGAGACTTGCACATGGATACACTTTACTATCCCAGTAGGAAGAAGGGTATTCCTCATACCCTGGCAACAGCCCAGCCAATAAGAGACAGCCACAACTCAGCCAATAAGAGACTATCACAGCTCAGCCAATGGAAAGCCAGTATACTTCAAACTCCCAGTTTTTCAATGGACTGTTTGTAACAGCTTTCCCAACATCCCCCTTTCCTGTATAAGAGCAGTTCTCGCCTTTGTTCTGTGGACTTCCCTATAGTTCTGTTGCAGCGTGCTTGTTCCAGATTGCAATTCTCTGCTATTCCCAAATAAACCCATTTTTGCTGGTAAAATAACTGGCAGTTTTTTTTTTAAGGCTAACACACTAAATGTGCAGGTTTATTTCTGAACTCTTTTAATTTTCTTCCAAAAGAGTTGGGAAATTTAACTACTTACTGTTTCAGCCACAATCCTAATCACGAATTCACTTCTCATAGTAACTCTATAAGATGGGTACTATTCTTACTCCCATTTTATAGGTGAAGTAGCCAAGATACAGAGTGATTTACCCAGACCATACAACTAGTAAGAGGCAGAGCCAGGACCTGAACTTAGGCTGATTGATTTGAGAGACCAAGCCTTTAATCATGCTATAAATAAAGGTGAGAAATTAGAACTTAGAATTCCAACGAAGAATTCATTAAAAAAAAAAACAACAACAAAAAGCAGGTGGAGGTCGAAGTGGCCAGTAAGTTTGGAAAAGCACAAGAGTAGGGGCTTTACTAGCTTGCTTATTGAGTTTTAAGAAACGGACCTGCCTTCCTTTGTTGAAACCTTTCCAACCCCAACTTAAGAATTTATAAATCTTGGTTTATAAATTATAAAGGAGCCACAGGTTGGCTCCTCTGGCTATTGGGGCAGTTCAGAGCGGGGGTCGCCCTTTCGGCCCACACTTAGAGCCGCGGTCCGGCCCCTCCTCAGCCCTCAAGCCACGCCCCCAAGCCCGAGCCTGCTGTCGGCGGAGAGCCGAGGGGTGCACGGAGTCTGCGCTCAGGGCGTTATGCTGTACGGGATGCGGTAAGTCTCGCGGGAAGATGCATTCGTTGCCTCGGTAACAGCGTCGCGGTCGCGAAAGATGGCGGGGCGAAGTGTTGGTCCCCGGGTCAGTTCAAACAGACTCCGGGGTGCCGACTAGCTTCTCAGCAGGCCAGAGAACGCGAAACCTCATTTAACTTCGGGTCTGAAAGTCTCTTTCTCTTTTACAGAGACGGAACGTTTCAGGCACTCCGCTCCCGCCGCGAGTTCAGCAATCTGCTGCGTCTCGACCGGACCTCCTTGCCAGGGAGGAAGAATATAAGTAAGAAATTAAGCTGTTTAGTTTTTCCTTCTTTCTTTTACCCAAATGAGGTTGCTTGCAAGTACTTTACTGGTGATTGACTGGATCTTTGGGATCACTCACTGTTCACCATTCTCTTTTCAACATCCTGTTCGCTAGTCCTCGTCTTTTCTCCGCTAACTTCTTACCTGTTTGAAATGGGTGAAAATTTATCCCAGGTAAACATGTTCGTCAGCAAAATGATACTGCTAGAGGTGATTTGGATAGCAGGAATTGTCAATAGTTCAGTTTCTAGTTTAAGAATATCCACTTAATTTGGAGCTCTTGGAGTTTATGTAAATTTCTCATAGGCTTGGTTTCTAAATTGAAAGCATGTTTCCTCTCAGTGCAGTTGGAATTCCCGTTCTCATGTACCTTTGGTGGAGTTAGGAGGATTTCCTTTCCTTATCTGCTCCCAGTGTAATCAAACCTATTCTGACAACACGTGCTTTCATTCTTGGACCATTTCACTCTTCATCCCCCAGTTTTCACACAGAAGCCAGAGTAATCATTTAATTTGATCAAGTCAGTACTTTGCCTGAAACTTTGCAGTGGTTCCCCGTTGCACTTTAGAAAGTCTGTTAGATCTGGTGCCTTCTCTTTTTTGCCTACCAGCCTCCAGCCTCATTGGCCTTTAAGTTTCTCAAGATTTTCCCTTGAGGGCAATCATACACATGCCTTCCACCTGTAATGCTAAGCGCGGTCTTCCTGAATTATGTTAAGCTTCCCAGTTACTCTTTTTTACTCACTTATTCTTTGTAGTTAGCATAATGGTTCCACATTCATTTGTTAGTGTACTTTTTGTCTGTTTCCTCCACTGGTCTGTAAATTCTTTAAAGTCAGAGGCCAAGTCTTTTGTCATTGCATATACCCTTACAAAATTATATTATAACAACTCATTTTGTTTATAATTTACCTAATTTAAATTAAAATTTGGGAAACATAGCATTGATTCAAATTGTTAAACCTAGAGATACCATATGGTCTGTACTTAAAATTAAAGCATATTTAGGGGCGCCTGGGTGGCTCAGTCGTTGAGCGTCTGCCTTTGGTTCAGGTCATAATCCCGGGGTCCTGGGATCGAGCCCTGCGTCAGTCTCCCTGCTCCGCGGGAAGCCTGCTTCTCCCTCTCCCACTCCCCCTTCTTGTGTTCCCTTTCTCGCTGTCTCTCTGTCAAATAAATATATAAAATCTTTTAAAAAAATTAAAGCATATTTATTTGTTTATTTTTACTTTCTGACTAGTTTATTCTTTTTTTTAATTCAAGTTAGTTAACATATAGTGTAGTATTGCTTTCAGGAATAGAATTTAGTGATTCATCACTTACATATAACACACAGTGCTCATCCCAACAAGTGCCCTCCTTAATGCCCATCCCCCACCTAGCCTGTCCCCTCCAGCAAACCTGGTTGTTCTGTATATTTAAGAGTCTCTTATGGTTTGCCTCTCTCTCTGTTTTTATCTTATTTTATAAAATTAAAGCATATCTAAAGTTAAAATGGAACCTGTACTATCTTTTTTTTTTAATTTTTTATTTTAGAGATAGAGAGAGAGAGGAGATGGAGGCAGAGGGAGAAGCAGGCTCCCCACCAAGCAGGGAGCCTGATGCGGGACTGAATCCCAGGACACTGGGATCATGACCTGAGCCAAAGGCAGAAGCCCAACCATCTGAGCCATCCAGGTGCCCTGGAACTGTACTATCTTTTGATGAACTAGGCACTTGTTAATTTGCCATAGCATGTAGGAAGGTAATCGTTCTCCTCTATTTAATGAAATGGGTCTATTAATCCAGTTCCAGAGTGTACTTAAGCAACTGATCTCTTGTCCTTACACAGGTCTGAATTAGCTGTGCTCAACCCCGAATGGTTATTTTCATTACCATATACCAGATATCACCAAATACCTGCATTGGTTAGATTAATTCATTTACTTACTTAAGAGTATATTTTGCACCTGGCTCTGGTATGTTGTTATGGCCCTGCTTAAAATCTTCTTAAAGACATCTACAGGAGCTATTCTATTTCAGCAGAAATCATTTTGTGCTAAAGATGGCCAGTTGTTACTTGTTCTGTTATCTTTACTCCAGTGTGCAAATCTAGGCATATATGAACAGAGTAGCTCCCAGGCTCAGCCTGAAGTTGTAGATTACTTCTGTGCCATGCAGAAGAGTAAAATGTCTGGCCGTTCTTGTAGGCAAGAATATGAGTTAATAACAGAGTATTATGCCACATGTTCTTGGTATTAATCATATATGGGATGTCTTCAATCAACAGAACACAGCACTTCCTGGGGTTCCCAATCCACAATCTTCTATAATTAGCTCCTGTCGAATATTTGGAGGAAATAATCACTATCCGAGAGGATAGACTACAGAATATGCTAATGGCTCAAGTTAGTAGGTTTTCCACGTTTCATGCCTATGTTATAAAACCAGAAAGCTAAACAGTAAGATTATGTGACCTCTGTTTTAATGGTCTTGATAGCTGGTAGGGCAAGCCCCACCCCTCCCCACACCCCATGCCCATAAATGCCAATTACATTGGATTTATAGATTTGCAGAGCACTAGCTTCTTTATGCTATTGAATCTTTCCTTTCATGAACATGACACATTTCCATTTGCACAGGGGTGGGTGGTTTTTTTTTTGGTGTCCTTTAATATTTATATTACTACATTAAGCTATCACGTATATAATCTGTTTCAAGGTGTCTTGTAGTTTTTGTGGCTGTAATGAATGGCTTTTTTTTTTCTTAAATAGGCTCTATGCCTGTCGTGGAGCCCAGGCAGGGCTTAAACTCACGCCCCGAGATCAAGACTTGAGCTGAGATTGAGTCAAACACTCAACCAGCTGGGCCACCCAGGTGCCCCAAGAGTTGCATGCTCCACTGACTGAGCCAGTCAGGAGCCCCACCTTGCATTTTTTATAATGACAGTTACATCATATGCAGATTATGATAGTGTTGTCTCTTCACAGTTTCTCATGCATCTTTTTTTTTTTCTCAATTTAGTTAGGACCTCCTTTGCAGTATGGAATAGAAAAAGTGATGGCGAGCATCCTTATCTTAGTTATGATTTTAAGGAGCCCACTTAATTTATCACTGTATTTGAAGTTTGATGTAGAGTTTTGCTAGATTCTTTTATCAGGTTTAAGGATATTGTTTCCTTTAATTCCTATTTTGAATGAATGTTAAATCTTATCAAAACTTTTTTTCCCAAATTAATTTAGGTGATTAAATGTCCACTCCCACACACACACACACACACACACACACACACACACGCACGCACACATTTAATGTTTTAACATATTGAACTACCAAGCAGATTTTTTATTTTCCTTTAAAGACTGCTGGATTAATTTTGTTCAAAGATGCAAAACACCTACATATAGCTTTATGTAGGTGTTTTGCATCTTTGAACAAGAGATTGGCCTTATACTTCTTTCTAGTTCTTTTCCTTCCTGATTTTGATATCAGTATTAGCCACATGAAATAACTGAATAGCTTTCCTTTTTGTTTTTTTCTGTTCTTGGAAGCTTTTTGTAATCAGGGATCATCTACCCTTTGGTTAAAATTGGGAAATTGAGTGTGATGTATTTTTTTTATGGAATTTTTTTGCCTATCAATTCAGTTTCGTTAATGATTATTCATTTATTTAGATGTAGTAGTGCTTCCAGAATAAATTTTGGTTATTTGATAGTTTTCTAGAAAAGTATCCACTTCATGTATGTTTTAAAAGTTGATAGCATTGGGGCACCTGGGTGGCTCAGTCGGTTAAGCTGCTGCCTTCGGCCTAGATCATGTTCCCCAGGGTCCTGGGATCAAGTCCTGAACTGGGCTCCCTGCTCGTCAGGAAGCCTGCTTCTCCCTCTCTTCCCCACTCGTGCTCTCTCTCACTGTCTCTGTCTCTCTCTCTCAAATAAATAAATAAAATCTAAAAAAAAAGTAATAGCATAAATATGTTCTAATATGCTTATTTTTGTATTTTAATAAGTTAATTTAATAAAATTCCAGTATAGTTAGCAGTGTTAAATTAGTTTCAGGTATACAATATAGTGATTCAGCAATTCCATACATCACCTGGTGCTCATCACAATAATTGCACTCTTTCATCGCCATCACCTGCTTCACCCATCCCCCCACCCCCTCCCCTCTGGTAACCCTCAGTTTATTCTCTACAGTTAAGAGTCTGTTTCTCGGTTTCTCTCTCTCTCTCTTTTTTTCCCCTTTGCTTGTTTGTTTTGTTTCTTAAATTCCACATATGAGAGAAATCGTGGTATTTGTCTTTCTCTAACTGACTTATTTCACTTAGTATAATACTAGCTCCACCCACATCTTGCAAACGGCAAGATTTCATTCTTTTTTGGCTGAATAATACTCCATTGGGTGTATGTGTGTGCACACACGTTTTGAGTCTTGTCTGTAACCTTATACATCTTTTCGAAGCTTTCCAGTATTATTTTGTCTTTTTATCAATCTTGCTGGGAGGTTTATCTATATTATTGGTCTGTTCAGAGAACTAGATTTTGATTTTGTTGCTAATCTATGTAGTTTTTAAAAATTTCATTGGTCTTTATTCTAGCTCTTCTAATTGTGGTGGATTTTTTTTTTTTACTTTTAGTTTAATTTTGTTTTTTAGATTTTCTATTTTTTAATACATTTAATTTCTGTAAACTTCTCTCCAACTACAGCTTACTTGTATTTCTTTTGTGGTTATTTAGTTTTAAATATTTTATGATTTTCATAGTGGTTATTCAGGAGTTTTTTAGTTCCCAAGCATATAGGGTATCTGCTTGTTTTATTTTTCTTATTTTAAATTTATTTTTAATTGCACTATGGTCAGAGAATTATATACTACTGATTTTTAAAAATATATTGAAACTTGTGAGCAGTACATTTTCAATTTTTGGAAATGTTCACATAATGATAGGAAGGATATTTACTATTTGTTGATGAATCTCTTAGCTCAAGCTAATTAATTTGGCTGTCCATAACATCAGTATCCTCACCATTTTTTTCCCCTGCTAGCTTTGTTGATTTCTGTTAGAGGTGTATTAAATAAACTGTAACTGTAGTTTAAAAAATTCTCCTTATAATTGTGTCCATTTTTGCTTGGATGCTATATTGTTTGATTTACTTAAATCTTCTAGATGAATTCTTTCATTATTATTCAGTACCATTTTTTATTCCCTTATTTCCAAGCTTTTTATGTCATTTAGCTTTAACAGTATTATTTTTATGTCCTCTGTAATCATTTCTGCCTCCTGATAAGTGAATTTATTTATCTTATTGGGTTATTAACTTAAAGTTGTATGAACCATCTTATTTTTTGTATTTTCTTTTTTTTTTTTTTTACTATCCCTTTTCTTTGTTGTTTTCTGTCTTCTGTTGGATTGAAGGAATTTTTGTTGTCTTTATTTTTCTTTTTCTGGTTTGGCAAGACCTTAAAATGCTTTAACTTGGTTTCCTGTCTGTTAAGTTAGATAATACTTTACTTCCTCTTTGTTTTGAATTCTCCTACTCTCCAGGTTATCATTAGTGTTATTTTTATATTCTGTACTAAGTTAGATTTATCATCATATTTACTAATTTTTTTCCTCATCATGATTTTTTTCTAGGTTCAGTTTCCTCCTTTCTGAAGTGTAGACCCTTCATTACTTCTGAGTCTCATCTTTTCTGAAATTTTTATTACATGACATTTATTCTTCAATGACAGTTTAGCTGCGCATGGAATTCTAAATGGTCTGCTTTCTTTCTCCTCCGTCCATTAAAGATAACACTTCATTGTCCATTGGAATCTAGAGATGTTGAAAAGCCATTTTAGCTTTTTAGAACATAATGCTGGTAGACTATTTTTCTTGGTTCTTTTAAAATAATTGCTTTGGTAATTTAAAGGTCATTTTTGTCTTTGAAGTTCTGCAATTTCACTATAATGTATACAGTATGGGCTTGTTTTCTTTCTTTCTCTCTTTTTTTAAAGATTTAATTTTTAAGTAATCTCTACACCCAGTGTGGGGTTCAAACCCACAACCCCGAGATCGAGTTGCAATGCTCTACCAACTGAGCCAGCCAGGCACCCCTGTTTTCTTAATTCTACTTGAGATTCATGTCTTTCCTCAATTTAAGAAAATTCTCAGTATTCAAATATTGACATTCCCTCCTTCTCTGGAATTTCCTTCTGCAACTTAAGTAACGACACATCTGTCTTTGTCCTATAGTCTCTCTTCAATGCATGTTAACCTCTCTTTTGTATTTTTATCTGTTTCTCTGTCTCCTTTTAGGTGAATTTTCTCATATCTGTCTTCTCATTCGTTTCCTTTTCAGTTCACGGTATTGTTCAGTGTAGCCATTGAGTGAGGTTTTAAATGCAATGACTGTTTTTCATTTATGTAATTTCTATTTGGTTCTTTTCTAAATTCAGTGTTCTTTTGTAATAAATACTTGTTCTTGCCTAATGGTTTCTATTCCTGCTTTTGGGGGAGTGGGCAAATGAAAAATGCTGATTTAAAAATCTTTTAAAAATAGATTTTAGATTTAGATAATCCTGTTCTTACGGTATAAATTTTGTTGTGTCTACTGATTCTCTTTCTTGGCGACTCCTTTCTTTATGCAATTTGTTATCTTTGTGAAGTCATTTTTAGCAGGGTTTGCTTTCTGAGAGAGTTCCGTATATCCTAGATAAGTAAATATCCTTGTAGGTTGATTGCACATTTACTTTTCCTAGCTTATCAGAGTTTTCGCTGGTTTTGGTGCAGCTTTCTGTACTAAAATTTGGCATAGGGTCCCTCTACCATTTGGGTTAGATGAATTGGCTGTGTTTACTCACAAGAGAATCTTTTCCGCCCATGGCTCAGTTTCATTTCTGTTCACCTAAGGTTAGGGGTAGTGTTTTTGTAGTCTGTGTTTCACAGGTGTAGCCCTTCGTGACTCCCACACATGCATCAGTTTTTAGCTGTTAGACTGTTTTGGCTTCTGTTCCTGTTTACTGCTCTCACTTTGAGTTGCTGCTTTATTTTTAGTGCCAGGGTATTTCCCTTGCCTGCGCTGGAGCTTAGCAATATTTCCTTCATTACATTTTATCCAACATGTCCATTGGTTTGGAGCAGAATAGTGTTCTGAGTCATCTCAGAATACTATATTGACCAGAAGCTTCTATTTAAGTTCTCATGATTCTTGTTAAGGAAATATGAAAAATCAAGTAATGGTATCTTAACTGCAACTTCAAGTCTTTATTAGATATTTTTCTTTTGATTAATTCATCCTAAGATATACAGATATTTCTTAAAACACTACTGTTTTAAGAAGAGATATAGTACTACCTTTTTTTTCTGGGAGTGGGGATTGTCAGTGATTTTTGTTACTTCTGAATCACATCTAACTGAAACAACAAGATATTTTAAAAATTGCTCAACATATTCCCTTTATATAATTTCAAAAGAGCCTAGATAGCTTAGAAATGTGAGCTATGAATAAAAATAAAAAATTTTATGCTTTTGAAGATGTTTATTATAGTGTTAACCTTTAAAAGTGAAAAAAGGACTTTAACAGTACGAACAGTTCAGTACATTATGTTAAGTGCAACTCATTGCAATATTGTGTAGCCATTTAAGGCATGAATTATAAAAATTATGTAGAGCTAAACATACTCATTCTATATTTTTATGGGAAAACATAGTATGAAATTGTGTATATAGGTGAAAATTGGAAGGAAATATGAAAAATAGAAACAATTGGATGATGGTAGGATTATGAGCAATTTTACCTTTAAAAACAGTTTCCTTCAGTGATACTGCCATTCTTCCATTCTAAATTGGGCCAAATAGTACTCCTATTCTTTGCCAGATTCCAAATTGGTTGGGGGAAAAAAAGGAGTGGCAGGTAGACGTCAAAATAAGCTCCTTTGTTTCTGAAAGCTGATATTGAAGTGTGTAACTGAGATGTGAGCCACGTTAGGCCTGTTCACTAAACTCCAGATTTACCTCCCCAGTTGCAGCAATACCCCCAGACCAAAGCAGGCTTCTCCCTCATCCTGTCCCACTCCTGCCCCCATTTGGAGTTGATCCCAAGAAGATGAATAGTGGAACTGAATTGAACCCACACAATTTATTCTACCCATATAAGTCATTACACCTGAATGAGGGCCAGAGACAGGCCAAGAGTTACTGTTTGAATTTCTACCACAAAAGATGAGGAATCATGAAGAGTTGGAGGTAAGTGTTCTAATAGTAATGGTAATTTTAGAGTAAAAATGTCATTTGTATGTTTTGGTATTCTTGATTAGCTAAAGTGTAGTTATTGAAACTTAATTACTTTTATTTTTGTTAGAATCTTCAGTATATCCCAAATATGAAATTATTTTTTGCTTTTAGGCGTTTGAATGCAGAATTAGAGGCAAAAACAGCTGATCTGGTTCGTCAAGCTGAGGAAGTAATAGTAAGTGAATGTGCATTTATTAATTTTATGTGAGTGCTAGTTTTTTAACTTTTTACAGTGCCCAAAGCATAAATTTTTACATCAATGAATTATTACAGATTGAATACGAATATATGAATATATGTTTGTATATATGAACGTATGTTTTTGATATGCACACGTTTTCTAAAAGCCACTGAAAAAGCGTTTTCCATTTAGATGTTCCAACCATCTAATTAGTAAGAACATTGATATTTAATAATCTTTCCCACTACTTTAAAATTAATGTTTGAGAGTAGACATATAGAATTAATGCTGGTAATTCAGTAAGGATAGGAATAAAATGGGCTCAGGACAAAAGTTGAATAACGGATAGCAATCATCACTAATACTCAGATGATAATTTGTTTCTTAAATTCTCCAGTTGGATGTAATTCAAATTCTTAGGGCTAGTCTAGTCAGATTTATAGTTAGAAAAAAATGTAGTGGTTGTATCACTAGACAAAGTAAGCGTATTTTGCTCCATTCTGGCTACCAAATTGGTTATTCCTACTTTAAGCAGCAACTTAAGCATTAGCATTCCCATGATTTATTGATAGGATATTAGGATATAGTAGTATTCCTTAGACGAATAAAGTAGCTGCTTTCAAACTTTTTTCAGTTTTTACTGTATACTTTTTTCTTTTAAATTCACCCATCCTCCTTGGGGGTGGTAGTGAAAAATAGGAAATAATTTGTTTTAATGCCTTATACAGATCTATCATTATTTGTTAGTTTTGGAATAAGAAACATATATATATAATATTTCAGGTAATATATTTAGATAATGGTTATAGATTTGCTAGTTTCATTTATAATTAAATATTTTACTAAAAATAAATTTTTATTGTATCTTTTAGTTTTTGCCAGTGTCTAAAAAGCAGGAAAATAATTAACAAACCCAGTGTTAGAGAAGAATGAAGGATTCATTATACATTCTGCTCCAAGAATCCTCTAATAAGGATGATTCCCTGCCCCCCCCCCACCCTGAAAGAGTAGAGCAGAAGCCTGGGAACGACTAGAAAAGGGGAGAGGACATTCCTGCCCCATGGAAGCTAATGGATATAACTTTTGCTGCATTGAATTTTTGTTCACTCATTTTCACTTCTTGATATATCATTGCCAAAAGTTTTTACTCTTAGTGCTTTAGTGCTTCATGGTCTTCACGTTGAAGCTCTGGGGCATGGGTGGCTCAGTCGGTTAAGCATCTGACTCTTGATTTCTACTCAGGTCATGATCTCAGGGTTGGGAAATCAAGCCCCATGTTGGGCTCTGCCCTGGGCATGAAGCATGCTTAAGATTCTTTCTCTCCCTCTGCCCCTCCTCCTCCACCACCCCTCATGCATTCTCTCTCTCTAAAAAAAAAAAAAAAAATTGAAGCTTTGCCTGATTTGAGACAAGTTTTTCTACCCCTCAAATGAATTTATGCTTTAATTTCCTGTGAGCCTAATTTCCTTTGCATGTTACACAAGTTGGAAGCCTAATGTAGTGGGGAAGCAGGAGGTAGATAAAATCAGATAAAGGCATTGATACATTTTTTCCCTTAGAATTGACTTTCTTAATCCAGAATGAATGAAAGGTGAAACTACATTGTTACAGACTTTATATTCATACCATAGCATTTGAGTTCTGTGCCTTGATTTCATGGAAACTGTGGACAACTCTGAAATGATTAATGATCAGAAAGGTACTTGACTATATCCTGGTTTTGTGGTTTTTCTCTATATGACCTGTCTTTATTCATTTAACTAGAGAGATCAGCGAGAAGTACAATCAAGGCCGGTCTCAACACAAATTATATCATATGAAAAGGAAGACGATTGCAGTTTAAGGTAAGTAATTTATATTCTCAAACACCATTTTTTTGATGATGTATGTAGATCTTTTGTTACGTAAAATCTTTTTTGCATGTATTAGAAATCTATAATTTGAAAAATAATGTAATATATAATATACTAATAAAGTGGCGCCTGGGTGGCTCAGTCGTTAAGCGTCTGCCTTTGGCTCAGGTCATGATCTTAGGGTCCTGGGATCGAGCCCCACATCGGGCTCCCTGTTCAGCGGGGAGTCTGCTTCTCTCTCTCCCATTCCCCTGCTTGTGTTCCCTCTCTCGCTGTCTCTCTCTCTCTGTCAAATAAATAAATAAAATCTTAAAAAAAAATGTATATATATATACACTAATAAAATGGAGGCTTATATGAACCAGACATGATGTAAACCCTTTACCTACTTTATGTCATTTAGTCCTTAAAGTATTATTTTGAAATAAATATTGTCCTCATTTTAAAAATGAGGAAATTGGAGCTTAGCAAAGTTCAGTAGCTTGCCCAAGGATATATAGATAATATGTGATTTCACTTAGATGCAAACCACAGTTGGTAAGATTTCTGAACCTGTTCTTACATAGTATACTCTTTCTTTTTTTAAAATTCCATATGAAAATTAGATAAAAATAAGTTCGTAAAAATAAAATAGATCTTTTTTTCCTTGAATTTCACGTGAACTTCAGGTATGTCAAAAAAAAATGGGGAATCGGGACGCTTGGGTGGCTCAGTCAGTTAAGCGTCTGCCTTTGGCTCAGGTCATGATCCCAGGATCCTGCGATCGAGTCCCACATCGGGCTCCTTGCTCAATGGGGAGCCTGCTTCTCCCTCTGCCTGCTTCTCCCTCTGCTTGCCACTCCCCCCCTGCTTGTGCTGTCTCTTTCTCTCTCTCTGACAAATAAATAAAATCTTTAAAAAAAACAGGGAATGGAGATGTATTTAGGAATAAACTTAACAGGAAATAAAGGATCTGTGTGAATAAAACTATAAAATGGTATAGCAGAGTTAATGGTGTTCACCCAACATTCCAAGTCTTGCTATGATCAGAAGTCAGATTATTCTCTTCCAAGCCAACAGATAGGAGTTGTATTTTGAACCTCCAGCTGACTCTTTCTCTTCCATGATCAGTAAAAATCCAGTTGATGAAACCTCCCAGCCTGGTCTCTGGGTGACCATGTGGAACTTAGGGGAAAAAAGGGCTCTCTGTCCCTCTCTACTGCTACTTTGTGTTAAGCCACTGAAATTTTGGGTTTGATCTCCTAGCTTATCCTAACGAATACAGCAATTGGTATTGAGAATTAGGTGCCATATGACAAAAACTAAGAAAGTGTGTCTTTAGCTTTGTAGTTAGATGGTAGCCAGCAAGGAAACTGATCCTGGAGGCTGGAAAGGTAGGAGGTACTATTAAGGTAGTGGCAATGGATTTAGTAAAACTGCCACCTTTGGTAAATTGGAAGGCAGAACAGGTGTCAAATGAACTTGTGCTCTCGGGCAGGGGGTGTGGGGGGAGAGGTTGGAAAACAGAACATTAGTAGTATATGCTGTTACTATTAGTTGTATTCTTTCCCCACTGAATGGTCTTGTCAGTCTTGTCAAAAATCAGCTGACTGGAGGCACACGGTTTCATTTGTGGACTGTCAATTCTATTCCATTGATCTATATATCTGTTCTTATGCCAGTACCACACTGTCTTGATTACCCTTGCTTTGTAGGGTTAGCTGCTTTTATTTTTTTATTTATTTTTTAAGATTTTATTTATTCATTTGAGACACAGAGATAGAAAGAGAGAGCACGAACAGGGGGAGAGGCAGGCAGAGAGAGGGAGAAGCAGGCTCCCTGCAGAGCAGGGAGCCCGATGTGGGACTCCATCCCAGGACCCTGGGATCATGACCTGAGCTGAAGGCAGACGCTTAACCGACTGAGCCACCCAGGTGCCCCGGGTTAGCTGCTTTTAGACCAAAAAATTATGAGATAAAATTGAGGAAGTCTTTGAGGAACAAAGCCTATTAAAGCTCAGCCTTGAAGCAAAGATCAGACTAAAGATGTGGTCTCCATGCTATTGATAAGACTTTATAATGGATTAAGGTTCTTCAGGGCGAGGATCATTTTGAATGGCACCTAGTGAAACTTCCAATTAGATAAAATGGCTCCGGGCAAAGCTCTGACTAAAGGTATAAGTCTCCCTATAGAAGCCTGACAACCTCAAAGTAAGCCATTATTAAGGTGGGGGGGTGGGGAAGAGGGTGAGGTGTTCAGTAAAGAAATATACTCTTGGAAAGAACAGTGGATGTGGTAATGGCACATGGAACTGACTGGAATCAAACAGATATGAAATCCACTAGTTTTCAGGGGGGTGGAGTTGTACCAGCTAAGAAACTGAATGGTAGACTAAAACTGTGACTGTTTAAATCTCAAAACAGCTGTACGTCCTCCCAGTCTTCTAAGATGAAGAAGCAGGCTGTGAGAGCAGCACAGCCCTAACAGGGTAGAATGTTTAAAAACCTTAGAGGACTTACAAACAAAAAAGAAATGTGTTACTTAAGCAGCAGTATATTTATCTCATACTGGAAATATTGGGACATTATTTATTTACTCAAAAATACTGCATATGATCCAGCAATTCCCCTTTAGTTATTTACCCAAGAGAAATGAAGACACATGTCCAAGTGAAAACCTGTATGCAAATGTTTATAGCACTTTTATTCATAATTGCCAAAAACTGGGAACAGCTCACATATCAAGTGGTGAACCAGTAGGATAAGCAGATTGTGGTATATCCACACAATGGAATACTACTTGGCAGTAAAAAGCAATGAACTCTTGATGCAGCAACAACATGAAAACTAAGTGAAAGAAGCCAGATTAAAACATATGTATACTGTATGATTCTATTATTTTCGAGTTATTTAAAATCTAGTTAACATACAGTGTAATATTAATTTCAGGTGTAGAACTCAGTGATTCATCACTTATATACAACACCCAGTGCTTATCACCAGTGCCATCCTCGATGCCCATCCCCCATCTAGTCCCTCCTCTTGCCTACCTCCTCTCCAGTAACCATCAGTTTGTTCTCTAGAGTTAGGAGTCTGTTTTCTGGTTGGTTTGCCTCTCTTTTCTCCCCTGCCCCCATATTCCATTTATTTGATGTTCTGAAAAAGGTAAAACTATAGCCACAGAATCTGATTAGTGTTTGTGTGTTATGGAGGGGAGGGAATTAACTACAAAGAGTCACAATGGAAATTTTGGTGATGATGGAAATTGTCTCTATCTTAGTTGTGGTGGCTACATGACCATAAAATTTGTTAAAATTTATAGAACTGTTTGGGACACCTGGGTGGCTCAGTCGGTTAAGCATCTGCCTTCGGCTCAGGTCATGATCCCAGGGTCCTGGGATCAAGTCCTGCATCGGGCTCCTTGCTCAATGGGGAGCCTGCTTCTCCCTCTGCCTGCCGCTCCCCCTGCTTGTGCTCTCTTTCTCTCTCTGTCTCTCACAAATAAATAAAATCTAAAAAAAAAAAATTTATAGAACTGTAGAGGTGCCTGGGTGGTTCAGTCGGTTGGATGTCTGACTCTTGGTTTCTGCTCAGACATGATCTCATGGCTTGTGGGATTGAGCCCCGCATTGGGCTTCTTGCTCAGTGGGGAGTCTGCTTGAAAGATTCTGTCCCTCTGCCCCTCCCCCTGCTTACATGCTCCCTCCCTAAAAATGAATAAATCTTTAAAAAAATTTATAGAACTATAAATCTAAGAAGAGTGAATTTTAAATTTTTTATATCATTTGATATACACACATGAAACTACATATCCTTATGTGTAATGCTTTCTGATATTTTATGGAAAATGATGTTTAGCAGTTATCAAAATTCCAAAATTTGTATTACAAAGATTAGACACAGGTTTTATCAAGTAAACTAAAAGACTGAAATGATGGTAACAACAGCTAATCCCTAGATTCTGTTGAAGCAAGTGAGAGACTGATTTCACAAGCATAAAAATAAATCTGTCGGTTTCCTTTCACTAAATTTTCCTTAAGTGCAAAGTGGTGATGACACCTCTGTTTACCTTGATCAGGTGGCTTTTTAAAAAAATGCTACTGTTTGAACAGATGGTTTTTACCACGTGAAACATGCCCCTTGACTATTATTTGGAAATTGCTGAAGATGGGAGGTAATTCTGTAAAGAGACAATCCATTTTGGCTTGGAACAATCATTCATGTAAATGATGGTGGTCGGGCAGTATATATTGTAATAGATCTTCAACATCCAAAGTTACTCTGCCAAACAATATGGTCAGGAAACCAGAATTTAGTTTCCTAATAGTATAGCATACATGTCCTTCATTCTGCTGGAAGCAAGATTTACCACACAAATCATTTCAGTTATGTTACCTTTCATGGAGAAGTGTAACAAAAATAGCTAGAATACTGTGTTTTAGTTCATTTTTCATGGAAATACACTAGCAAAATAATGTCGCTCTGCTAAACCTGAGGGAGACCAATAACCCTTAACTGTCTTTTGGCTGATACCTATGTGTATCAGGGGAGCAGAGATGGAAGATGTAGAAAATGTAAGGAAATGGCAAATACTGATTTGATATGAAGGCCGTTAAAGAGAACACTTAAAATTTGAATAAAACTTGGTAACATTTTAATGTCGTATGTGAGAATGATTCTTTAGTCTCTATAATTTTAAGGTATTTTGAAAGCTGCCTTTTTTCTTCCCAGAGCTATTTCTAGTTCTTTAAAAGTTTGTATATAATATTATCTAAGTATATTTTTGTGTTTAATATTGAAATAACTTACATATGACTAGTTGAGTAGGTGGCATATGACAGAAAGTAATTTTGTTTTTGTGTCCTTACGGTTAGGAATTCTCAGGGGATATGGAGGGTTTTTGTTTTCTTTTTTTTGGTTTTTTGGTTTTTAATAGCAACAATAGATAGTAACATGGTAGATTTTCAGAAGTATTAATACATGTAATGGGGATGATCTAGACAATTGATCAGGGGTAGGCAAACTCATCCAATAAAATTTACAAAATTTTTGTATTTGTGGGCTTTACAGTCTTTGTCATAACTACTCAACTTTGCTGTTATAGTGAGAAAACAGCCATAGAGAATGTGAAATGAATGGATGTGGGTGAATTCAGCCCATGTGCCATAAAGTGCAGACCCCATAAACACTCTTTGTTTTAAATAAAAACAAATTTTGAAAACTGTGCATAAAAATGAGTTGTATTTTAGAGGTCAAACTTCCAATAATAAAATGAGTTAGTTGTGGCAATGTAATATACAGCATAGGGAAATAGTCAATAATATTATAACAACTTTGTATGGTAACAGATGTTAACTAGACCTATTGTGGGGGCCATTTTGTAATGTATAAAAATATTGAAACACTATGATGTACACCTGAAACTAACAGGCTATTGTATGTCAATTACACTTCAATTAAAAAAATGTGAAGTTAAAATGTTAAAAAAAAATGAGTTGTATTTTAGATGTATTTATTCATGCATTTAACAAATACTTATTCAGTGACAGTTTAAGAGCTCATATGCTAGGTACTATGCCATGTGCTAGGCATAGAGCAATGAACAAGGCAGACATGATTCCTACCCTCATGGAGTTCACAGTGTAATGGGTAAAACAGACACTGACCAAGTATTTAAATGCATTTACAAAGGATAACACTGGATGGGCTCACACTAAAAAGCCTTGTGGTGAATCATTTTGTAAAATTGATAATCCCTGTGTATTACCAATAATCATGCCTTATGATTTTCATTTGTTAAAATTTGTGCTATATTTCCCTACAAAAAATATTGGTATTATAGTATATCTTCTCAAAGGTGAATTATTTAACCGAAGAACTTTTGTTGTTTGTGACACTTATCAGAATAAACTAACAGGTGCATGACTAGAATCATAGCAAATCTACTTGATAGTTGTCTGTTTTCCCTTTCAGATATAGTTACTGTTCAATTTTATTGTGTCTCACTTTAGTATCTATTGTTAATGTGTAATATTTATTTTTGATCTGTAGAGGTCTGTTGTCTGAAGGGATAGTTCATCTACATTCAGAAACTAAGGTATGAAATCAAACTTTTGGGGTGCCTGGGTGGCTCAGTCGGTTAAGCAGCGGTCTTCGGCTCAGGTCATGATCCTGGGGTCTTGGGATCAAGCCCTGCATCGGGCTCCCTGCTCAGCAGAGAGCCTGCTTCTCCCTCTTCCTATGCCTGGTCTCCCCCTGCTTGTGTGCTCTCAAATAAATAAATAAAACGTTTAAAAAAAATAAAACTTTCTGTAAATATTACTTTCTGTAGAATTTAGGTTATTTTTTAGAATTTTCTTAGAATAAAACAGAGGAGTATGACTATAGAAATAGAATATAAGCCTTGATACTTAGAAGAGATGCCTTCATAAAATGTTGCTCATAAAATAAGTTGAATCCTTTTTTGTTTCATAATTTCACTGAACAATCTGGATATATATTGGAAAAAATTCTAAGTAAAATGAATCTGTAACCTAAGCATTTTTAGTTTCCTCTCTGAAGCCCAAATTTACTAGAAATACCACCCAAAAAAGAAAAGTATTTATATACAAAGGAGGTAATTTGAGAGGTTTATTCATTCATTTAAATATTTATAGTGTGTGGATCACTTACTGCAGGTGCTGGGTGAATTGGAATCTACAAGTTCCCCACCTACTGGAATCTAGGCCAAGGGAACGGTATATGTGAAGATCTGTCTGGGGAATAATCAGTGAGGAGAACTAAATTCTGTGAGCCAGAACATCCAGTTTAATGTTCCACTAGCTAGCTGATTATCCTGAATTTTGGAGGCTCATTTTCCTTATCTTTGAATCTGTTAGTGCTAGTGATATCTAGGTCTTTTCCTAGATATATACAATCCTGGGATTCTTTAAAATATAATTTGATTAATTCCATGAAAATAGCAATTCTTCTGTGTAGTAAACTAGCAATTCTGTGTATTACAAAATTGCTTTCCATGACAAACGATTAGAATCTAATTAATAATTTAAATTCTTTTGATGTAGCCGAAAACCAAAAATGTTGATGCAGTAAACAAGGTTCAAAACAAACTGCGCTCTGCAAATAAAGGAAGGAAAACAAATTCAAGGTATAGCACGGTTTTAAAAGTATTACTTTCCTTTTTTAGTTTTATGATTCACAGTACCATCATTTTAATTATTAAGCTCTTTCTCTTTTTCCAGATTTTTTTATACCTTACATTGTCTATATCTTATCTACATTCAGTAATTTAAAATATGTTCTCAGAAATGTCTTGCAGCAATTACTAAACATTATATGTTCTCTTAAGCAAAATCGCCACATTTCAAATTTTTAAGTGTTAATGAGGTATTTTCTGAGAGCTAAGACTAGAACATAGGTGTCTTTCTCTGCCTAGTTCTCTCAAACTAGTCTACTTTTTTGAGCATTTAATAGAACACTATACATTATTGTGTATCTTGACATACAAAATGATTTGGTGTGCTCAAAGTAAGACTGTAGTATCATTGTAATTTACATTCTGCTGTTTTTGGTGAGAAAGAATTCCAGACTGTTCTTAGTGTTTTAAGCTAGACAAGGGGACTAAGGCTCTCTGGGATAGGAGACCTAGAAAAGGAAGGTCACACCTGCAGTAGATTGTACAAACCAGCTTCTTTTTATTAAATGTGTGTTACTTACCCAAAATGATAATTGCATTATAAACCTAGAAAAATCTTTGTTAATATTTGTGTCCTTTAATTGGCTAAATAACTTTTTTGCTTTTTGAATAAAAGAAAAAATAGAATGAAGGGATAACGAAGAGAAAATAAATCTAAAAAAGAAAAGAGAACATATCCTGCATACATAATGTAACTGGTTATCTTATTTTCAGACTTCAAAATTACTTTTTAAAGAAAAGCTTGTTTTTCTAAGTAGAATTTGCTTATGTGGTAAAAGGTAAGTCAGGCTTTAAGTAAAAAGTTAAAAATAAGGCTTTCAGAACCATAAATTTAATTGGTTAGGGCTGGCCCATTCCTTAATGCCTTTACTAGTGACTTTTATTTCATATTTCTTCCCTTGTTAAAATCAAATCTAATTTTTTGGTTGACTTTGATTCTGGTTAGAATGTGTTTCTTTAGGTGGAAAAAAGGAGTTGATTTTGATTGAGCTAATAACTTCACTCTAATTTTTTTCTTAAGAGGTATTCTTTAGTGTTTGCAGAATTATGGCTGGAAGCAATATCACTTTATACAGTTCTTCTTCATCAGCATGTAATTTAAAAGCCACAGTATGGATTTGACCTGGGAGGCTAAGCTCAGCACTCTTAGTTTTGATGTTTCTTGTTTGGAGGCAATGTCTAGACAAACTAGCCTCATAAGCCTTCTCTTAACTCTGTAACTGTGTGATTCATAAAAATTGAAAGTCAATTAAGTCTTTTATAATATCCTTGGAAGTATCAATTGTAGATTTCATTATAAATTTAAAATTAATAATTTTGATCTGCTTTGTTATTTGAGTAAAAAAGTCACATCTCCTTTGTATATTGACATTGTATGTAATATGAATGTGTATATATGTGTGTGTTTATTCATTTATAGTATAAAATTGAAATACTCTGATGTACAGACTGCCAATGATGTTGCTATTCCAGAGGATTTTTCAGACTTTTCTCTTGCAAAAACAATTAGCAAACTTGAAGGGCAACTGGAGGAAGAAGGTTTGCCTGATTATATAGATGATGATATTTTTTGTGGTGTTAGTAATGACATTGGAACAGGTAAGTTTTCTTTTATTTTTATCCTTATATCACATTTACTTAGAAAAAGATATTTGGGAATGATTTTTCTTGCATTTAAAAAATGTTATGATAATAAATAATAATAAATAATAAATAATAATAAATAATAAAAGATATTATGTTATGATATCTTGCATTTGTTTCAAAATCATCTAGTGGGACATGATGGTAGGAGGAGTGAGTGGAATTATAGATGAAATAAAGTTGGTTTTGAGTCAATAATTGTTGAAAATGGGTGATGGGAAAGTGGTTTTTCATTGACATCATCTCTATATATATGTTTGACATTTTCCATTATAAAAAGTAAAAATGAAAAAGACTATATGGGGGGTGCCTGGATGGCTCAATCAGTTAAGCAACCAACTCTTGATTTCAGCTCAGGTCATGATCTCAGGGTGGTGGGATTGAGCCCTGTGTCAGATTCCCCACTCATCAGGGAGTCTGGTTGAGATTATCTCCCTCTCCCGTGGCCACTCCCCCTCAACAAATAAATCTTAAAAAAAAGAGAGTGTATGGTATTGGTTTCATTGACCACATTTCAACTAAGTCTAAAATGCCCCATAGATTGGGGCATCTGGGTGGCTCAGTTGTTAAGCGTCTGCCTTCGGCTCAGGTCATGATCACAGTTAAAAGTGAAGGATTCTCTCTCCTTCTCTCTTTGCCCCCCCCCCAAATTATTTTAATGTTTTAACGATAAGCTATGGGGCATTTTATTTAATTTATTTTTTTTAAGATTTTATTTATTTGACAGAGAGAGACACAGTGAGAGAGGAACACAAGCAGGGGGAGTGGGAGAGGGAGAGGCAGGCTTCCCGCGGAGCAGGGAGCCCGATGCAGGGCTCAATCCCAGAGTCCTGGGATCATGACCTGAGCCGAAGGCAGACGCTTAACGACTGAGCCACCCAGGTGCCCCAATCTATGGGGCATTTTAAACTTAGTTGAAATGTGGTCAATGAAACCAATACCATACACTCTCTTTTTTTTTAAGCAGGATTCATGCCCAGTGCAGAGCCCAATGCGGGGCTCCATCTCACAACCCTGAGATCATGGCCAGAACCAAAATCAAGAGTCGGACGCTTAACCAACTGAGCCACCCAGGCGCCCCACATTAAAATAATTTTTAAAACCCAATGTTTCGGGGCACCTGGGTGGCTCAGTCGTTAAGCGTCTGCCTTCGGCTCAGGTCATGATCCCGGGGTCCTGGGATCGAGCCCCGCATCGGGCTCCCTGCTCGGCGGGAAGCCTGCTTCTCTGTCTCCCACTCCCCCTGCTTGTGTTCGCTCACTCTCTCTCTCTCTCTCTCTCTCTCTGTCAAATAAATAAAATCTTAAAAACCCCAATGTTTCTTTGAATTCCTTTCATCTATTAATACTGTATTCTACTTACTGCATGTTAAAAGTATAAATGAATGATTAATGTGGCATCAGTTAAAATAATCAGTTTTCTAATGAATATAATTTTCTTTCTTATAAGCTTGTTCTCCGCATATCACTTTGAAAAATAATACTAAGTTTAGATCATCTAAAAACAATTTAGTTACCAGTAATGCCTCTAGAACTGTTGAATTTATGAGGCGCTACCTAAGCATTTATAAACAAAGAATAAGACAACTGAGTGTATTTGAACATGGTTAATACTGAACTATAGTTGTGACTTCAGGCAAGCCACTTAGCCTCTCTGTAATAGCAATTCTTCATTTCAAAATTTAGCAGTTTGTATGAGATGGTCATAAGATGTATCTTTAAAATTCTCTTGATTTTGTGAAAACCGTAATAATTTATATGTGTAATGATTATTGTGCTGCATGCTACTTAGTCATAAATGAACAATTCATTTATGAATTTATTACATTTACTGACCTATCTAAGCTTTCTGGGGGTACTTTTCAGACGAGAAGGTAAGTGAAGCAGGAAGTTGCCTTTATGTCTCTGTCACAATGCCTTCAAGGACACAGTGGTCACACGTTGACTGTTCTTCACCCATGGCCCTGTTAGAATATTCCTGCTCTTAGATACATAGAACCGGTACAAACAGACTGCCTTAAATTGCTACTTTCTTTTTATTGCTGAATCACCTCTCTGCCACTTTGCCTCTCTCCCTACCTTCCCTTTCCAGACTCTTTGGCCAAGGTATCTCCCCTTCTGGGGGAGCTTTCTCTTATTCCAGATGATTGCCTGAATGGCTATACAGGCAAGAGGAAAAGATTTAAAAAAAGTAGCTTAGTAGCACATACTGCTCTGTAAGACTAAAGTCAGAGGGAGATGGGGATGGGAGGTTAATACTATGGGCCTGCACAGGTGAGAGCATTCGGCTCCTTGGTTACACTGAGGTTAGTTGGGGGAGAGAAAGAGATGGACGAAGTCATGCTCTCCCATTCTTCCTCCTTTCTCCTTAGAGACCAACTACTGCAAACTTCACATTTTTAAATATATCATTTCCCTTCTATCCTGTGCTAACCTGGAGTGACATGAGAGGCTTGAAGGAGATTTGAGGCTAGACAGGTCTAGGTGGGTTAGAGCCAGTCATCGTTAATCACCTCCATGGTAACACTGGGAGCATTTAGTAAGAAGAGCTTTGGAGTGGAAAGCATATATGGAGATGTTTGTGCTCTGTTGGGATATATCCTAATGACTCCTCAGAGACAGTTCAGGGTGTTTATTCAAGATAAGATCCATGAAGGCAAAGCTTGTCTTATCCCTACTATGCCTGGAACACTATAGAGACTTAATGTATATTTTGTGGATAAATGATCAAATGAATTATGGAATGAGTTCTAAGTTCACTTTTCACTCTATTTACTTACATAGTTCTAGAAACATCAAAGATTTGCTGCTGATATCATTGAATAAAGAATTTTAGGTAGCAATGAAATATCAAAGGCAGAGCTTAGGGATTGTGGGAGAAAGCTTCAGCAGTAAGGTATTAGTGTGTTTCTCTGCTTCTAAGGCACATAGACTATGTTTTAACTTCTGTGAAATCGGGATATGTATTACAATCACTAGTAATTTATAATCACAGTGGCTGAGATTGAAGTTGAGTTTTACTAGAGAGGTTTTATCTTTGTTTCTGCCAAACACCTGGGGACGTTACCAACCTGAAACCACTTTAAATTCTGACTGAGGTATTTTGGATCTCGTTGGTAAAGACAAATACAGTCTGCAGACTTAACCTGAGTACTGGCTTGTGGTTCAGATTCTCAGGAGAGGTTTTTGTTGTTTTTCCCTTCTTTCCTCAGTTCCGGGTTGAGATGTGAAGAGTTCCTTTCTGTTGGGTGGATTTGTTTTTCATTTATCTTTATAGTATGGGTATTTAGTGTCTTTAGTGTTCTCAGACAGGGATCTCCTGTTAAATTCCCCATCTTGAACATTTTTTCCTCATAAAATAATGGTCTGTCTTGCAACTGATGGCATCTTAGATTCAGTGAAAGACAATATATGTAATTTTATTTAAATCCACAGAAGCCCAGAACAGATTTTTAAAGGCCAAACTCCGTGTTATGCAGGAGGAATTGGATAATGTTGTATATGAATGCAATAAAAAGGTAAAAACATATCAAAATAAATGCTTTAATATTCCAAAATATTTTAGGAGCAGTTTCAGTTATTTTTAAAATATATTCATTGAGATTAATTTACAGTTAAATTTTGAATTATATGTAAATACTAAATTTTATTGTATTTTGAGATGTTGAATTTTCATTGAGCTAAAGAATATTAAATACTTGTTAGCAGTTAGAGTTTTCTGTATAAGATTTACAAATGTAAGCTCTTAAATAAAAATAAAACATCTGACTTCCATTTTTGAAGATGAAAATGGAATGCAGTTTGTTTTTCTTTGTGAAGTGAATATAAGTATCTCAAATCATATGAAGCTCCTTTTTGTTTTCTGCTTTATGTTGTGATACCAAACCTTGTGCATTTTTTCACATAATCTCTAATTTCCTAACTATAGGAAAATGAAATTCAGGATTTAAAGTCTCAGATAAAAAACTTTGAAGAAGATTGTGTGAGACAGCAGCGAACAATTAATTTGCAACAGTCTCAAACAGAAAAATATAAAACTCTTTTTGAAGAGCTAAATAAAAAATGTGATGGATTACAGCAACAGCTGTCTTCAGTAGAAAAGGTAATTTTGCTATTTTTCTGGACCTAATGTTAAAGATACTATAAAACAAAGTTACATATTTGTGTGGGCACCACTTTTGCTTGTTCAGTTATTTTGTTAGTATTTACTAAAAAGTCTTCCACCATATAAGGATATTTTTAATAGCTTTATTGAACTACAATTCACATATAATACAAATCACCCTTTTAAAGTATACAGTTCAGTGGCTTATTAATATATTCGGGGGTTGTGTGGCTGTCACCATGATCAATGTTAGAACATTTTCATCACCCCAAAAAAGACACTCCATACCCTTTAGCCACTGTACCACAACCCTCTTCCCCCATCCCTTCCAGCTCTAGGCAACTTCTTATTTTCTGTTGACAGATTTGCCTATTTTGGACATTTGGATGTTCTATATATAGAATCATACAATATGAGGTATTTTGTGACTGACATCTTTTGTTTAAGAATGTTTTAGAGGTTTATCCACATTGTACATATCAGTACTTCATTCCTTTTTATAAAGTAATATTCTGTTATATGGATATAACACATCTGTTTATCAGTTGATGGACATTTGTGTTATTTCCACTTTTGGGCTATTTTGAATAATGCTGCTATGAACATTAACATACAAGTTTTTGTGTGAACATATATTTTCATTTGTCTTGGGTATACACCTAAGAGTAGAATCATTGGATCATATGGGAACCCTGTGTTTAACCTTTTGAGAAACTGTCAACTATTTTCCAGCTAGCTATGCCATTTGTACATTTCCACCAGTAGTGTGTAAGGGTTCCATTTTCTACACATCCTCACCAACACGTTAGATTATCTTTTTGATTATAGCCATTCTAATCATGTGATGTGGTTAGCTCATCATTTTGATTTGCATTTCTCTGATAACTAAAGATGTTGAGCATCTTTTCATATGTTTATTGGCCATTTGTATATCTTCTTTGGAGAAATGTCTGATCAAATCCTCTGCCCATTGTTTAAGTTGGAATTTTTAAATTATTGAGTAGTAAATGTTTTTTATATATTTTAGAGTGAAGTCCCTTATCAGATACATGATTTCTAAATACCTCTCCTATTCTTTGGGTTGTCTCTTCATTTTCTTTACAGTGTCCTTTGAAGCACAAAAATTTTTTATTTTTGAAGCCCAGTGTATCTAATTTTCCTTTGGTTGTTTGTGCTTTTGGTGTCAAATCTAATGGGATAATACATTTTAAATAAGCTATCCCATTAAAAAACTTATATTAATGTACCACTGAGATAATAAAAATAAAACATACTGTATGGTATTACTTTGTAAGACTTATGATAAAAATTATGTAAAATAAGAGATTTAGGTAGTAAGAAATTATACCTTCATTTCTATATTTTTCTTTAGTGTGTTCCTGTAAAAGCATATTTTTGACCATTTTCGTCTTGTATAATTAGCATTATCTTCTGATAATAAATTTCTTAACATTGGCTTTATTGAGATAAAATTTGTGTACAGTAATCACCCTTTTTAAGTATACAGTTCTGTGAGTTTTGACAAATACATAGTCATATAACTAGTGCCATAATTGAGATACAGAACAGTTCCACCATCCCTAAAAATTTCCTTGTGAATTTAGTCAAGTCCTCCTCCTCCTTCCAGTCTAAGGCAACCACTGATCTGGTTTCGGTTCTTATATTTTGACCTTTTCCAGCATGTCATGTAATTAGAATCACATAGAGTTACTTAGTAGGCTTTTGAGTCTGATTTTTTCATTTGCAAAAGGCAATTGAGGTTAATCCATGTTGTAGTCTGTTCCTTTTCATTACTGAGTAGTGTAACATTGAATGGATATACCACATTTTGATTACCTATATATCTGGAAATCAGAATTAATTATAGTATCTAATAGTGTAAGCCAGTACTATCCAATATGGTAGCTCACTATATGTGGCTAGTCCAAATTGTGACATGCTGTAAGTTTAAAATAAATACCAGATTTCGAAGCCTTAATAAAGAATAAAAGAGAATATTTTTATATTGATTACATATTAAAATATTTTGGATATATTGGGATAAGTGAACTATAGCATTATAATTAATTTTACTTGTTTGTTTTTAAAGTAGCTACTAGAAAATTTAAAATTACATATGTGGTTCACATTATGTGGTTCATATGTTGGTCTAAAAAATATAGACAAGTATTCTTTTTTTTAATTTTATTTATTTTATTATGTTAGTTACCATACTATGATTAGTTTTTGATGTAGTGTTCCATGATTCATTGTTTTCAAATAACACCCAGTGCTCCATGCAGTATGTGCCCTCCTTAATACCCATCACCAGGCTAACCCATCCCCCACCCCCCTCCCCTCTTAAAACCCTCTGTTTCCCAGAGTCCATAGTCTCTCATGGCTCTTTCTCCCTCCAACTCCCTCCCCCTTCATTGTTCCCTTCCTTCTCCTGATGTCCTCCCTGCTATTCCTTATGTTCCACAAATAAGTGAAACCATATAATTGACTTTCTCTGCTTGACTTATTTCACTTAGCATCATTTCCTCCAGTCCCATCCATGTTGATGTAAAAGTTGGGTATTCATCCTTTCTGATGGCTGAGTAATATTCCATTGTATATATGGACCACATCTTCTTTATCCATTCGTCTGTTGAAGGGCATCTTGGCTCTTTCCACAGTTTGGCTATTGTGGACGTTGCTGCTATGAACATTGGGGTGCATATGGCCCTTCTTTTCACTACATCTGTTAGACAAGTGTTCTAAGAAAAAACCTGTTGTATCTGGGACACCAGTATTTTTGTCATGATACTTTATTATTTGTCATATACTACCAAGTTTCTGGTCATATCATGATTATCATTTCACATAATCTTGAAACCCTGCCTACATCTTTGATTCTCTTCTTGTTCCTGGCCTTTATACCCATCCTATGCATTCTTCAAATGTTTTGCATTCATTTTTTCTTTTCAATTTCCATTGCCCCTTCTTGGTTCAAGCTATTATTATTTCTGAATCCTCCTCACTGGTTATTTTATCTCCTTTCTCTTTTTCTTATCCATTGTATCTTGTACTCTATCAATAGATTAATGTTCTCAAAAGACTACATTGATTATAACTCTACCTTTGTATGGGCAGAAATGGAACTAACATTTTTTTGAGTACTATGTGTCAGTCAAAACATTTTACAGAAAGAGAAACTGAGTCTGAGAGGTTAAACAAAGTGCCCAGGGTCATACAGGTAGTGGCAGTGCAGGATTCAAACCATGTTTGTCTGACTCCAAAGTCCGTGTTCTTCCTACAAATCATGTAGATTCTCCAACCCCTCAAAATTAAGTCGTCTTAAACACACAGCTATTCCAAAATCTCATTGCCCAGGGTCATTCAGGTAGTGGCAGTGCAGGATTCAAACCATGTTTGTCTGACTCCAAAGTCTGTGTTCTTCCTACAGATCATGTAGACTCTCCAACCCCTCAAAATTAAGTGGTCCTAAACACACAGCTATTCCAAAATCTCATTGCTGTTTAGAGTTAAATATTTGAAACCTTTGAGTCACAATGAGTGTTCTGAGCTGTTAGGATACATAAACTATCTGAAGATTTTTATGACTTTGATGAGCTCTGAACTTCCCATCTTGAGTCCTTATCTACCTACCAGGAAGAGAGGTGTAACAACTCTCATGGGTTATGTGGAACTCAAGATTGATTCTTTTTTTTTTTTGGCAATTCTGCTCACTATCTCTCTCTAAAAACCAACCTCAGTGTAGTTGATAGAAATGCAAAACAGAGCTTGAGTTTGATGGAGTTTCTTCTATAAACCTATAAAAGCCAGCTGTTTAAAAAAACACTATACATATTAACTTACACTAACAGGTAGAGCCATTTCTAAAACATAAAAGCAGAAAACAATTTATTTCAGCACTGAATTTTGTTTTTCAATTAATGATGTTTTAAAATCAACTTTATCAAGAAATAAATACAATTAAATATACTTGTTTTAATTGTGCAATTCACTGTGCTTTGACAAAATAGTATATCCTTATAACCACCACTGCAATCAAGATAAAATTTCTATCACCTTCCCAAAATTTCCTTTGTCTCCCTTCCCTTAAAATTTCAATCTCCAACCATGGCCCAACCACTGATCTGCATTCCTTCGTTACAGACTAGTTTTCCCTGTTCTAGAATTTCATATAGATGGACTTTTTATGGCTGGCTTCTTTTGGTCAGCATAATGATTTTGAGATTCATTAATGTTGCATATTTTGTGGTTCATTCCCTTATATTGCTGAGTAGTGTTTGTTTATGGATGTACTGCATTTTGTTTATTTGTTCATCAGTTGGTAGGCATTGAGTTATTTCCAACTTTGGACTATTAGAAATAAAGCCACTATGAATTTTCATATACAAATTTTTATATAGACACTTGTTTTTATACAGGCGCATCCAACATCACTCGTGATGTTGGATAAATACCTAAGAGTAGAATTTCTGGGTATTACAGAAACTGGTGTTTAACTTAATAAGAAACAGCCAAACTGTTCCAAAGTAATTGTACCATCCTTCATTCCCACCAGCAATATATGAAAGTTCCAGTTAGTCTGTATCTTTAGCAGCACTTGGTATTGTCAGTCTTTTGAATTTTAATCCTTTTAGAGGGGCAGAAGATTAGCATCTCATTATGGCTAAATTTGTATTTCCTTTATGACTATTGATCTTGAGCATCTTTTCATAAGTATATTGGCCACTCATATATCTTCTTTTGTCTGTTCAAACCTTTTGCCCATTTAAAAACGTATTGAGTTGAGGTAGGAGTTCCTTATATAATTCTTTTACTAGAATATATAGTGAATAGTTTCGTCCAATCTTACTTGGCTTTTTTCTTAACAGTGTTTTTCAAAAGAGTTTTAAATTTTGATGAATTCCAATATTTTATTTTATTTTATTTTATTTCTAGTTTGTGCTTTTTTCATCTTATTCAAGAAATCTTTGCCCACCCCATGGGAGAAAATCTTCATGTAT